ACAATTTTTTGTGTACGTATTTGCTATAAAAAGAGCAAAGTGTTAGCATCATTCAGAACAACGTGTTTGAACGGATTTAAGTTTCTGCTTACGCTTCAATAGAACGGAGCGTAAGCGCGTTAAACTCTGTCAAACATGCCTAGTCAAAAGTCGAAACTTGACTAAACAATAACCAACAAAAGCGGAATTATCCCCCATTTTCTTCGAAAGCCGGAAAATTGTTTTCCAAATTACTAGAAACATCTATGCTCGCAACAATTAATCCAACGATTTGCAGCTAAAAGAAAAGACTTGGAACATGAAATTGGCAGTCGAAATCTGCAGGGCTCCTTTCTGAAATCAAGCTTGCAGGGTGTACCGGATAACCAGCACTATAAGAAGCGCTCAAAAGGCGCATTCTGACGAGCACGAGTAAATTTGATAAAAAATGTCAAAAATAACATTTCCGGGCAGTTTTTTAGGATCTTTTGAATTCCAGTTTTGAAAATCTCTTTTTACATTGTCATGAAGTTTTGAAATTTTACCTATGAACAGACATGTATTGTGATATTATATAAATTTTTCCTTCCTGATATCGTGACATCACGCATTAAGCCATCATAACAAATAAAACAAACTGAGAAAAAACTGAAAAATTGAAATGTGGGAGGAGGAATGTGGATAAAAGCCGTTTCTAATAGCCTAGAAAAACAAATGAAATTTTACCACACCCTGTCTGAAAAAATCTTGTCGGGACCAGTGACAGAGCCCTCGGGATAAAAGCTCAATATGCCTTTCGGGCCAAACCTTATAAACATCCTCGTTAAATCTTCCGAGACCATCAAACTCTTCAATCGTCTCCCTAAAGAAACTCTCGGAGGAATTCTGTCGCCTGAGACGAATTGCCACCTCTTACAAAATGTCGCCTCGTGATTTAAAAAATGTCCAGACCGTGTTTCAGTAATCAAGCATCGGAGGACAGCATGGCAGACTCTCTTTCCTCCCCCTCCCCATCTGCAAGTTTTTTCGATTTTTTTTGTTCACATGGCCCGATTGTTACAAAAACTGACATGCGGACTAATTAGGTTATGACAAGGATATCTTATCTTCATACTCTTAACATTGTGAAACCCGTCGTAATCCGCGAAACCCGGAAGAAGGAAAAAAAGCCGCTTGGTTTTGTCAGATATAACTAAAAATATCAAATCAGGAATAAAGCCGGAAAACTTTTGTATAGACACGACATCCCTAGAAAAACAAATGATGGCAAACAGCATTGTAAGCAATCAAGAATGTTTTGATATAGTTTTTGACCTAAATAGCTCCACCCTATCCCCAAATACAATCTCAATTTCCAACGCATTTTCTGCAGTAACGTTTGAAAAATCAAACAAACCCTCAATTTTTCATTCAGTGGTAGCGACCCCATAAGTAGAATAGTTAGATATGGGCACCAATTCCGACGCTTGATTTGTGGCTGAAAAAAGTGAAAGTTGCTCTTTTTCTTCTTCGCAAGAGCTTTTTTGCCTTTTCCCATAACCTCGCATGAACATCAATGAAGACTATTTATGTTTGTCATGGTTTGATTAGTCTGCATGTAAATTTTCACAACAACCGTATAAGGCCAACAATAACTAACTTGTTAAATTTTGCAGGTGGTGGAAAAGAGAATGAGCCAAAAAGATTATTTCGTTTTTTGGATTTCTGAAAAAAAATTACCAAAATTTGAGTATCCCTCATAAGAGATCAGAGAGAGAGAGAGAGAGAGAGAGATAGAGAGAAAGAGAGGAGAGAGAGAGAGAGAGAGAGAGAGAGGAGAGAGAGAGGAGAGAGAGAGAGAGAGAGAGAGAGAGAGAGAGAGAGAGAGAGAGAGAGAGGAGAAAGCTTGAGGGAGAGAGAGAAGAGATTGATGATGGTTTTAATGATATGATGTTTTGTGTCTGTAACAGTAGACCTGGTATTCATTGCCATGCTCGAACATTCATAAAACCTGTCATTCAGTAAACATGAAAGGCTACTTAGCTGATTGCTAAAATCTGATTGCTGAATTTGTCTGGTGAAAATTGATTTGATTAAACTTCATTTGGTTCGTTAATTTTTGTTAACTAGTCAAGTTCTGACTAATCTTTTTGAAACGTGTGTCAAAGTAGCGGGAAGCTAGTTGAAAAAGGTATGACGCAATTGCAGTGCCTGACAAATGCAGCGATAGAAACGTCAGCTGCTTTTCAGTTTTTGTTGTTGTTGTTTTTGTTGTTTTTTGTAGACACTCTACTGTGCTGACGGGGGTGAACCCCACAACTCCTCAAATAATCAATGGCTGCAGTTCAGTCAAACTCAATCTAGATTTTATCAACCATAGCTCAGAATCTTAATCGTAGACAAGATGACTGATGAGCTTCTTGTTAACAACTATTTTACATGTTTAACATCGGAAAACAACAATTATAACAAACTCATGTTACTATCCCGCATCCAGTTTCAAGCGTTAATAATCGATTATATTACAATTTTAGTACCAGTCTTACTGAAATTGAGAAACAATCGATTTTAACCAATAAATAATCGATTATAATCTCTCTTTTTAAAATCAAATTATAATTAATTATAATCCATTATAATCGATTATAATCAATTATTTATTTGTCTGTTTTTCGATACAATTATAATCGATTATACTTGATTATAATCCATCATTTTTATTCAAATTTCTATTTCATTAGTTTTGCAAAAAAATCCGTTATAATAGATTATAATTGATTATAATCCCTTTTGTTTGTCCATTTTTTTCTTCGAAGTGGCATCTAAATTGCTTATATTTTATGCTTTTTGAGGATGTTGGTTCCTATGAAAAATGAGAAAAATCTTCTTCAAAAATTTCCAATTAATTCAAATTTATAAATTTTTTTTATTTCTTCCCCATTAGAGTTGTTTTGTGATGCATATTTTAAGCTTTTTAAACACCAAAACATCAGCTTTTAAACACCAAAGCTTTTTAAACACCAAAACATCATTTGATTTTGTTTCATGATTGATTCGAAACAATTTATTTTTCATCTACCGCGGGAACCTTTCCACTCATATGAAAGGATCTCTATGAAACTTTTGTTTCGTGGTAAAATTTTGTGTTCAAATGAACCAAAGTGTTCAAAAGATCTCTTTTTTAGAGATTTTCTTATTGACACAAAAATAATAACCCATAAGATATAATTCGAGTAAAGGAAAAGTTCGGCAAAATAAGAGATTATAATTGATTATAATCAATTATAATTGATTATAATTGATTTTAAGGGTTTTTAGTAAGAACTATAATCAATTATAATCGATTATAAGAGATCATAATCTCTTGGTAAATATCACGATTATAATCAATTATAAATCCCTTGAAGACTTAATTTTGGTAATTATAATCGATTATAATTGTCAAAAATTCATCATTATAATCCGTTATAATAGATTACTTACGCCTAAACTTGGATGCAAGATGGCAAACAGATAAAACACTGCAGCCGAAATTTCATCAATTTGGCTGTTTTTTCTTCCCCTCCCCCCAACTGCCAATTTTTATAAATGAAAGATTTTTTACATTGTCCCACTGTAATGAAAATTGGCAGATGGCATATTTTGATCTTCATACTAAAACCTTGAAAAAATCACTTGTTAGACCAAAAAAGTGATATAACGACACACTAACTTTTTGAAGCAATTAAATTGACGGCATGCATGTTCATTTGCATAAAATTATGATATCATACGATGCATGCAATGGGTGGGGGACAACAAATTAACAGGATGCAAATTTACATGGCAACCCCCTTAGTCTTATCAGAAACGTATCACTCAATATATTATTTTAGAGTGAGGCTACAATTATGAGTGTTGTAGTTTTCGAGAAAAAAAGTTAAACCAAATCCTTTTTAAAAAGTATTTCCAAAGATTTACGCGAAAAGCTGCTTCTACCACTTTTCTCATGCCAATTGACGCAAAATTTTTTTTCAATGATTTTTTTTTCAATTTGCGCTCAATGATCGAATCGTCCATATGTCTATTCGGGGGCGTTCAGAGTCTCGAAGTACATAAAACAAACAAAATTTAATAGATTTTCCAGATTGTAGGAAAATATATGTTTCTGGAACAATTTAGCTTCAGATAAAAATGAACAAAAATAGGGAGACATACTCGGTAATTACTGTCGCAATACTAATAATTGCTTACTGGTAAGACCCCTGGACAATTTTTAGGACAGTATTTTGTTTGTGTTGATTGATGCCAGAATCAATTGCAGATCTTTTCTTGCTTTTTTGCCGGTGACTTAATCTTAAAGAGTTTTGTTTTTCTTCAGTGCTTGTAAATACATAGTTTTAAAAATATGTGTTTTTGCGTTCTTTTTATTTTTTGGCTCTCATGTGCTTTGCCACTTGTACTCCGTCTAATCAATTAATATTTTAATTACTTTAATATTTTAATTTAATTAATATTTTAATTGCCACTTGTACTCCGTCTAATCAATTAATATTTTAATTACAAAAGAACAGAGCATGAATGAAAATAGAATACATCCCACAATGAAGCAGTAGAGAGAAGAGCTAAAAAGTGGTAAAACACGGCAAGAAAAACTAGTTTCAATTGACTGAATTACAGTAGAATCACAAAAAACTGAAGCAATTTGAACGGTTATTTTGTAATTAGGAATTCATCTGATGATTTGTGTTTAATCTGATGGTATCATCAAGGGGGGGGCAAAATAATTTTGACCCTCTTTTCAAATTTTGCCTGCGGTTGAGTTTTTTTGGATAAAGACGGTCTTCATATAATTTTCAAAATTAAAATGGTCGACCAAAGTGAAGGTCACCAAAAGTTTTCGATTTGTATATTTTAAAAATCATCCTTCGAAAAATCGATTATGGTTTATCTATCAGAGGTCTTTGTGAAGTATACATTTTTGATTGTACATAAGTAAATGGCTTTGAATAACGCAGATAGTGATCATTTTCTGAGGTATTATAATCTGTATAAAAAGCGAATAAGCAAACCACAATTGCAGTGCTTTGTTTCATAGTGATTACAATCAGAACAAGTCATAATCACACGTTTGGTAAAAACTAGAGAAAACACTTTTATATTCAGTTCATTAACGATGCGTCTTGTTGAAAAGTTAGCCTTAGAAAAGTCTCATGATCTATGGATTCAGACATCCGTCAGTATTAATTTTCGGTTGCTCCTCGAATTTCTCTTTTCGAAGGCTGTCCAAATTGATGACCATTTGGTGGAAGTTGTCGAGGCAGAAAGAACGTCAAAGGAAAAGTGCATCAAATTTCTCCAAATCATAAAAGAGTTCACAGGTTTGCAAACAAATTTCACAAAAAATAGAACTCATTTTTCACCGGAATCTTTCAAAAAAAAATGTAACTCAAAACAAAAGTCAAGGAACAACAAACGACGCTATTTTAGTCTAGACAGCCGAAAGGAAATCATTTCTTTTGTTTCGGATCTTTTTTTCCAACCTTTAAAGTCCTTGATAATAACTTCGTCCGCCTTTGTGTTCAGATTTCCTCTACCCTTTGAGTTAAATTCTTTGGTATGGTCATTAAGTTTACTCAAAGCCATTTGCAATGTGAATACCATATTTTATTTGCAATTTCAATGCAGTCAAAAGAATACTTACGTTTTTGCAAGAAGAACTCCGATCGGTCAAAAACATTAAAAGAAACTCTTCAATTGAGGGCATATGAATTTTTTTCGGGCAAAAAAAAACAAATATTCCCAACAGCATGCTTAGAGTCATTTTTACAAACCATGTAAAAGTTATGGCTTTTGGCGTTTTAAGGTCGTGATTTGTTGGGACGGCTCATGAAGGAAATGGCCATTCAATTAGGCGAAACGAGTCCATTAATAGTCAAAGTTGAATCTCTTATTTTGGAAACACAAACAGCGCTGAGAAATAAAGACAACTTTATTTCCCATGCAAAACGACTTAACGTCAAAATTTTCGACCCTGTGATTGGGTTCGATTCACATTTCAGTTTTCTAGCACAGGAAAGGAACTTTGAAAGCATATATTTGATGAAATCTGAAACCAATGAAGTTCATGAAGTTACTGAAGGTCATGAAGAGCATCAAAAACAAAAAATGGCGCTTATCGAAAAAGTTAAACTTACCGAAAGTGAAAAATCTTTTATTTTGACTACTTTAAAAACCAGAATGGAGCTCACTGAAATTTTAAAATTTTCTGATTTGGTCAAAGATTACTGGGAAAAATTAGCTGTTGAAATGGATATTGGCGACTTAGTTTACTCAATAAAAAGCTCTAACCAGTCGAACTACGATCGTTCTATGGAGTGCTTAAACAAGTCTTTTCAGCGAAATTTCTCAAAGTTTGACCGAGAGTACTTGATGAAGTCAATCGCACGAGCAGACAACAAATTGCTGCAACAAGACGATCTTTTAGAAATATTCGGCTTTGGAAATTTCAAAAACAAATCGCGCAATGTATATATGTATCTGAATTTGATAAAACCTTAGTTTTGGAAGTTGTAGTATTTATTTTCGTAACGATTATCAATCATAAAAAAGAATCTTTGAGTTGTTTCTTCCTTCGAGTAGACAAATCAATAAATTCAGTAAAATTCTTAAATTATTAAGAGAAAAAGACCGTGTCCTATCATAGCGTTCATGAAGTTTGGATTAATCAATTGAATCTTGGAGCATCTAAATTAACTAAATTTACTCAAAATATTCATTTGAGCTTTTTTACAAATAATTTATATCTCCTTTTAATTAAGATAAATTCTGCTCATAATTTTCAATGAAATATACTTGAATTTGGATTCCCAATTTTAAGTAAAATGAAATCATTTTTTTGCTGATAATTTTCTTTTTAAGCTTAAATAATATACTCTAAGCAACTATTTTTTAAAACAAAACAACATTAAAAACTGAAGCGACTTACTGCTTTGATTTGTGAAGTGTGAAAAATTTAATATTTAGAGAAACTTATAAAATCCTTTCTAAATTTGATTCCTAAATTCAGAGGAATTTAAATTGAAGAAGTCAACAATTTATCGGTCGATTTTCCACGAACGCAAAACATCATCGCGATGATTTAGGGAAAATACCTAGAAACTGAGGTGAAAAAAGCATGAGGAGTTTGAAACCATTTTACACAAAGTCGTCGCACAGATTCGAGTAGAATAAAACAAAATTTTTATTACAGGATATCAAGAAAACTTTCCAACTGCTTTGTTATGCCTGCGAGAGCAAGTGTTTTATAATCGGGAACGAGACATCTTTCCTGTAAACAATTTTTTATACAAGAATTCGAAATTGACTTATAATTGAACCAAGGCGCTTACTTATTCCTTAACGCTTTGCCTGGAGGTTAAAGCGGTTACTTTTCCAGCCTAAAATTTGGGGTTCGATTCCCGGCAGTACCTTGTTTTTTCAGTATACATTTTTTTCGGGTAAATTTTTTTTGTCTTTTAGTTGTCAGATCACTGATTTTTTGTGTGCTGTAAGCAAGTGGCATGGCATTTGCAAGTGTTTTTCATTTCAGGTGGAAATTAAAACTTCGTAAAAACATTTTTTAAAGTAATTTCTTTTCTGCTGCTGGTGTTTCCTCTGCGTAATTTTGGTTTATTGCAAAATTCATTTTCAAATGTGTACAAAATTGCCTGGAAGTTTTATGTGATAAAACAAGTATCATGAAAATGTATTGGATTTTTTTTATTTTATTTTGTTGAGACGCTTTGGAATTTTTTTTCACTTTTGCAAAGTTGTCTTCTTATCGAAACCTATCCAATGATTTTCAAAAAAAGTTCTCTTGCTGACTTTAATGTCCGCTAGACTCTTTTTCTTTTACACTACTGTCTACAGCCTTTGAAAAAGTCTGCGAGGAATTTTTGCCAGACATTTTTTTCTCGTTTTCTCAAAAATTACTAGCCTAAAACCTGGGTGCAATGGATACAACTGTGTGGGCAGCTCCCCTGCATATGCAACTACACCAAAGTTTTGATTTTTCTCAATAACTAAATTTCCTACTCCGAGATTTTAGTTTAAGTCTAAAGAACGGGTTGCGGGAAGCTTCACTGCATAAGCAGTTCAACCTAACCTTTAAACGAAAAATATGGCTCTCGGAATTGTGAATTTTTGGATTTTTGAAACTTTTAGTTGTTTGCAGGCACTCACTTATGGCACTTGGAAATATCATAGCCCTCAGAAAGGTCAATTTTTTTTGCTGAAACTATTTGACTTTTGTCGAAAATTATCCTCCAAAATCTGAGTTTTCGCGTTCAATCGAAGTAACTTGTTGTAATAATCTCTTATGCTTGAGCGGCAATGCGCAAAAATTTTTACTCAAAAAGCGTTAATTCACGCCTTTAAGATATTAATAATCTCTTTTGCAGCCTCATATCATTAAAAAAAATTCGCGCGCTTTAACTAGACCAATAACACCGTGAAAAACCCCGTAACACCGTGAAAAACAAATACAGGTCATCTTTTTTTAATTTGAGCATATATACTCTGTCAATTTTGTTAAAATTTGGAACAATAAGTTAGCTCAGTAGGAAATAAGGATATCCTGTTAAAGTGAAAGTAGCACAGAGTACTCCGACCATAGTCTAAAAAAATATGAAAAAATGGTTGTTTTTTCAAGTTAGTGTCGTTATGATCTACGTGTTGGGATAAAAGTTGATCTGAAAAAAACTGCTACTTAGGAACATTCGACAGTCATAGTAAAAAAACAAGTTGGACAAAAATGACTAAGACCATGAATAATATATAAAAACAATTTCTGATTTCCAAATGGCGCTACAAAAAATTTCAAAAAGAAGTTTACTAGAGTAAAATTAAGTTTTTATGACGTAAACTAAGCAAAAATAAGCTATTGTAAGCAGTGGCATGCGCAGAAACTTTTTCTAGATGGGGGAGGTTTTTCGAAACATTTGGAAATTTTGTCGACCTTTCTTTAGGTCGACCATTTTGATTTTCCGAGCGCTCCGAAAAAACTATGAGGACCCTAATTTAAAAAAAAATTTCTGCACTGCAAGATTTCAAAACACAGGCTAAAAAGACGTTTTGACCAAAAAATTGCGTTTTTCGATGCGCGCTCCCCCACAAAATTAGATATATTGGCGGCAAGGGGCCTGTAGAAAAATTTTCAGGTTGGTCAGCCAAAAATGACGTTAAGTCAAACCAGAAGGGGACCCTTTGGAAACAATTTGGCAACCAGAATGAGGGGAGATGGTCGCCCAACCCCACCTCCCCTTTAGCTCGATACTGATTGTAAGCCTGCTCGCTCGCTTTATTTGCTCGAATTTTGACTAAAAATCAAAAATTTTCAACCTGTTTTTCTCGATACTGGGCCAATTTTCGGAGTTTTTCTAATGTCGTTCGAATCACGACTGAAAGAGCTTTAAATTGATGTATCACTCGACCCATTCCCATAATTATTTGTGGTACCTGATTTTGCTTCGGAACAAAAAGAGCTTCTGAAAAAAAGAGACTGAATAAGTAAGAGTTTGATTTTCTAGTTTAGTGAACACTCACTTAAAATTAATTAGGAAGGAACTTTTTTGCTTAGGTTGCTTTGTGTCCACTCAAAATCAAGTTCCTGAAGTAAGTCACTATGCTTACGGTTTTTTGTGGGAAACTCTCACTACGCCAAAGTCAAGGTCACAAACCAAAAATACCTTCATCAGAAAATAATCAAAATTAAGAATCGTGAGAAGTCATGAACAAATGCCTTTTCAATCGTGATTCCGATTTCAAAAAAAAAAACAGAAAAAAAGTGCAAGAAAAAACCACTGAATTCTCTTGATAGCATTAAAGTGCTAAACTAATGAATAATTCTCATTAGTTTAGCAGTCATCTTGACAACCCGAGTTTTAGAAAGTTGAGTCGAAAAACCACTATGAGGCCAATCATATTAGTGTCCTCAAATGGTGTTATTGCTCATTGACTAAGAAATTTAATAGATGTTTTCCGTATACTTGCCAATATCTAAGCAAAGCTAAACCTAGGTTCAATCCAAACCACTTAAAAAAGCTTCAATTTTTTCAAAGATAAAATTAAGAAGAAATGTCATTACAGAAAGTATCTCTGCATTTGTCGCATAAAAAGTAAATTGTACCTTTAAGAAGATTTTATATGAACCAATATATTTTATGATTGATTGTAGTGAAAACATCGCAAAACTGACCCAATTTGCCTCATGCAATCAAGTAGTCATAAGGGCATCAGAATACCTTCGCATTTTGATCCGTAATTAGCGTCATCATAGCCCTTCTCACAGGTGAAATCGTATCCCAGTCGTTCATTAGAACAGAATTCAGAAGTCCTACAAATGCCAGGAGTCTCCAAACACACGTCAAAATCTTTTGAAGTAAAAAAGTAAAAAAACCTTGATATGGACCAGAGGCGGATCTAGGATTTTCTCGAGGGGGGGGGGGGGGATTTTGTCGACCTTTTTTTGGTCGACCGAATTGATTTTTCGTTTCGAGCTCTCCCTAAGCACTGTTTCGTCCCTGTTTTGGCCGAATTTTCAAAACTCCAAAGTCAAGGTCACAAACCAAAAATACCTTCATCAGAAAATAATCAAAATTAAGAATCGTGAGAAGTCATGAACAAATGCCTTTTCAATCGTGATTCCGATTTCAAAAAAAAAAACAGAAAAAAAGTGCAAGAAAAAACCACTGAATTCTCTTGATAGCATTAAAGTGCCAGGAGTCTCCAAACACACGTCAAAATCTTTTGAAGTAAAAAAGTAAAAAAACCTTGATATGGACCAGAGGCGGATCTAGGATTTTCTCGAGGGGGGGGGGGGGGGGGATTTTGTCGACCTTTTTTTGGTCGACCGAATTGATTTTTCGTTTCGAGCTCTCCCTAAGCACTGTTTCGTCCCTGTTTTGGCCGAATTTTCAAAACTCTTTCAGTTACAATAAAAACTACATACTGCCTAGTAAAAATCATTAACAAGGCAACTAAGCCGACCAAACATAAGCAGACACACAACAGCTCGACAATTTTTTGAAACAGAATGTTTGCCTTTTGAATAAAAAAGTTCTGGCCTGGTTCGAACACAGGACTTTTACCACATCAGGCGTAGTTTTTTCTCAGAAACCATGTACGTCGAAAAACTAAAAAGGTTTGATTTTGATGTAAGCCAAGATATCTTAAGATTTTCTGAAAATATTTAGTAAAACAAGAAAATTCCGTGCTGCGGAAACTAAGCCGACAAAAAACCATCAGACTAACGATAGCCCAAAAATTTTTTGAATAGGATTATATGTCTTCAAAAGCTTAATACATTACTTCTTAAAACAACTGTCAGTAGTTTCAGTCGACCGGTAGAACTTAAATTTGCACGTGTGCACGTGAATGGAGTCTAGTGATTCAAGTGATTTTATTAAACAAGTTGTTAACGCAAAAAAAAACGTTTACATTCCAGTTTGATAAGGCTTGCTTATCGCAAGCGTAAGCAAATTGCTTCGAAAGCGAAAAGTATGTCATTAAATTCTGGGATGTTATTGTTGAGGAAGCACCATCGCAAGCAACGCAAACAATATGAATTCAAGAGCTGAAAT